ATGCCGGAAGTCCAAAGACAACCGTCCCCCGGAGTGGCTGCGGGCGCGGACTCCCGCCTTAGGGGTGGAGTTGTGCTGGGTCTGGGCCACTTATGCACCAATAGCTGAGGCGTTCAGGGTTGTTCCAGGTCCGCTGCCCTCACCTGTCTGGGTCGGAGGGCTGTGTTCCGCCGCACTAGGAAGTGACGCAGACTGTGGCAGTGAGACGCTTCCTGCGGAGGCCTAGGTGGGACGCGAGGGAGCTGCAGCACTCAGGTACGCAGTCGGTCGGGCAGAGCCGGGCCGATGATCCAGCTGCGTCCACGCCCACTTGGGACAGCTCTGCTTATCGGGTCCTCTCGTACCTTAGCGTTGAGGCTTAGGTGCCCTTGCGGTCACCGGCGTATGCCGCGCGGCGGAATGCAAGTCGCGGTCCGTACTGTTAGCCCAGCCCCTTTAGGTCAGCCTTACTAGAGCGCCTTGCTGATCCCGTTAATCCTCGAGTCTGTCTTGGGGCCTTGGCACTCAACGCTCGGACTCCAAATGCCCCTTCCTTTCCTCGCTGCGTCCTGGTATGTGGGTTTTCCAGTCAACCTTCGTGCACATCGGTTATCCACCTCCACCGCGTTGCTGCTTTGCACTCTGGAATCGTCTCCTCATCTCTCTTCTCTGTAAATGGTGTAACTCCTGCCTACCCTTCTTAGAAGACAACCCCACCTCCTCCGCTCCCCTGCACCTTTCTGCTCCCGAGCCCCCACTGTCTCTGAACTGTCACAGCACCTCTTATGCTCGCTCATTGTCTTCTACTTTGCGTAACGATATAGCTATGCGGCATAGCTTACCACTGTCACACCATAAGCTCCTCTGAAACTGAAGCCATGTTCTTTTCTGCCGCCTTCATGGCATGATGTGCCCTAAAGTGCCGGGTAGAAAAGATAGACAGGTGAATGAATGCACGCTGAAATGCTAGACCCATTTGAAGAGAGTGAGTTTTCCAGGGTAGAAACTCAGGCCTTGAGGTCCTCCCATGTTTAGGACATAAAAAGAGAAGAACCACAAACCCTTGGAAATTGCACCCTATGACATTTTTCAGAATGATTTTTTTCCCCTATGTTTTCTCCTGTTTTGTTTTTTTGTTGTTGTTGTTGCAGTTTTTTGGGCCAGGGCTGGGTTTGAACCTGCCACCTCTAGCATATGGGGCCAGCACCCTACTCCTTGAGCCTCGGGCACTGCCCTCTCCTCTTTTCCCAAAACTTGCAGTCCATCCCATCAGTCCGTGAGAGATGTAGTTTTGTGCTTTATTGAGAAAATGGATGTCCCTCAAATGAGAACATGCTTCTGCTAACCTCAAATGTTTCTTCATTTCCAAGGTTAATCTTTCTACCTGGGTTTCTGATTTCATCTTTTTCTGGGCCAATCTATATCTGGTCCCATCCTGCCCACCTCACTTTTATCTTCACATTAGCCACCAGCTTCCTCTCCCTTTAAAACATACTCAAATCTTCCTTATTAATAAGCAAAACTATAATTTTCTTGGTCTTGTTCCCTTCTTTTAGTTACTGTCCTATCACTCCCATCATTTATCTTTGAGGTGAGGAAGTTATGATCCTTCTAATGATCTCTTTTTGTCCTAGAAAAATGCTAGATACATATAAACTCAGTGGTGTTCATAGGCCTGCTGGGGCCCTGGCTAAGAATCTGTACTCTTCACATGACTTACACTGCCTGTTCCAATTCAGCGCTCTAAATTGACTTTCACCCTAGGCTTACCAATGACCTACTTGGCTATACTCACCTCCTGGTTTCATCTGACCAATCATCAGGGCAGTAGTGGTACCTAATTTTTGTTCTGGCTTAACACACTGAAAAGATACAGCACACCTCCATCAGGGACAGTTAGTTGATACAGCAGTGACCTTCAACCAGGAAGGGAAGTGTAAATGGAAATTTCCCCAGATGTTTCTCGAATTTGTCTTCTTAATTGTTCCTTTCTTCAAACTGTTGCTCCCTTGGCCTCTATTTTTATGATCTTATTCTATGCTTTGGTGTCACTTGCTATTTCTAGGAGAAAACTTCTCTCCTGAGATCTGTATAGATTTGCATTTCCGTGTGCCTGATAAGACATCATCATGTGAATTTTTTTTTTTTTTT